CCTTGCATATTTTGATATAAATATGATGATTGGACCCGGTGTGGTGAAGTTTTATGTATAAAATGGACCCTGTGTGGTTATGGTATTATATTGGACCTCGGATGGGTCATGTAAATGTTGATTGCACAGATTGTGTTTTGGGGTAGAGCTTCCCGTACAAAGGAGACTCTGCCCGGATTTCGTTAAATTATGGATCCTGGTAAATGGGACACAACGGTGCGATATCGAGTTATACGGTATCCACGGGCATTCCATGAGTTGATGGGAAATTAACGGACCCCATGAATTTGGGGTGTCACAGCAATTATAGGTTGTGCAAAACATGAAAACAATAACGAAAAATGAAAAACAAATAGTGGATTAATGAGAGTGTCCGGAATTAAAAATAATCGAAATAATGATCATAACAAGTAAGAAACACAAGAGGATGTAGAAATAGTTATGTGTACAATACATTTCACATGTAAAAGAAAGCCAATCAAATTTACACATCTTTTCGTTTCTAAACTCCGCTTTCAAACTTATCTTGTCTATTCCACTAACAATTGAAATCAAAGTACACATTAGATTAGTTACACATATAAAAATAAAAATAAAAAACATAACAAAAACAATAAAAGTAAAAAATAGGATAAGAATGATGAGGAGTTGGAGTAAAAGAAGCAAAAGAACAACAAACCCAAATCCCGAACCCCTATTTTGTAATCCGTAATCCCTAATTCCTAATCTGTGATCTCTAAAGTCCTAATTCCTAATCCCTAATCCCGAATCCCTAAACCCAAATCCTACTCCCTAAGCCCTAATCCCGAACCCCTAATTATAAACCAATAACCCAAAAAATAAAAATAAAACATAATTTATCTAATAGAAAAGCAAACAAAACAAAAGTAATCAAGGAAATGTTATACAATTATAGGTTGTGCAAAACATGAAAAACAATAACGAAAAATGAAAAGCAAATAGTGGGTTAATGAAAGTGTCCGGAATTGAAAATAGAAACAATGATCATAACAAGTAAGAAACACAAGAGGATGTAGAAATAGTTATGTGTAAAATACATTTCACATGTAAAAGAAAACCAATCAAATTTGCACAAATAGATATATACTTATCTTTTTACTTCTAAACTTCGCTTTCAAGCTTATCTCGTCTATTCCACTAACAACTGAAATCAAAGTACACATTAAATTAGTTACGCACGTAAAAATAAAAATCCAAAACATAACAAAAATAATAAAAGTAAAAAATAGGATAAAAATGATGAGCAGTTGGAGCAAAACAAGCAAAAGAACAATAAACCCAAATCTCTAACCCCTATCCCCTAATCCGAAATCTCTCATCCCTAATCCCTAATCCCTAATCCTTAATCTCAAATCCCTACTTCCTAAGCTCTAATTCTCAACCCCTAACTAAAAACCGACAAGCCAAAAAAATGAAATAATATATAATTAATTTAATAGAAAAACAAACAAAATACATATAATCAAAGAAATGCTATGCAATTATAGTGAGATAATGAGAGTGTTGAGAATTAAAAATAATAGAAACAATGATCATAACAAGAAAGAAACACAAAAAAAATGTAAAAATAGTCATTTATAAAACACATTTCACATGTAAAAGAAAGTCAATGAAATTTGCACAAATAGATATATTTATCTTTTCGCTCCTAACCTCCGCTTTTAAGCTTATCTCGTCTATTCCACTAACAATTGAAATCAAAATACACATTAGATTAGTTACGCACATAAAAATAAAAATCCAAAACATAACAAAAATAATAAAAAGAAAAAAATAGGATAAGAATGATGAGGAGTGAAACAAAAGAAGAAAAAGAACAATAAATCCAAATCCCTAACCTCTAGCCCATAATCCGTAATCCGTAATCCCTAACCTCTAAAGTATTAATTCTTAATCACTAATCTCTAATCCCTAATCCCTAATCCCTAATTCTAAATCATACTCCCTAAGTCCTAATCCCCAACCCCTAACTATAAACTAAAAACCCAAAAAAATAGAAATAAAACAAAATTTATCTAATAGAAATGCAAACAAAGCACAAATAATCAAAGAAATGTTATGCAATTATAGGTTGTGCAAAACATGAAAATAATAACAAAAAATGAAAAACAAACAATGGGTTTATGAGAGTGTCTGAAATTGAAAATAATAGAAACAATGATCATAACAAGTAAGAAATACAAGAAGATGTAGAAATAGTCATTTGTAAAATACATTTCAAATGTAAAAGAAAGCCAATCAAATTTGCACAAATAGATATACTTATCTTTTTGCTCCTAAACTCCGCTTTCAAGATTATCTCATCTGTTTCACTAACTAAAATCAAAATATACATTAGATTAGTTATGCACATAAAAATGAAAATCCAAAATATAACAAAAATTATAAAAGAAAAAAATAAGATAAGAATGATGAGGAGGTGGAGCAAAAGAACAATAAACCAAAATCCCTAACCCCTAACACCTAATCCGTAATCGCTAATCTCTAAAGTTCTAATCCCTAATCCCAAATCCTACTCCCTTTTTTTTTTAAAAGAGAAATATTATTAATAAAAGCCACGATTACAAGAAGCAAAAGCTTTAACAAAAAAAGAAATGTGCAGGAGGACCAGCTGAATAATGCAACCGTTGCAGCCAAAAGCACCAAGCAGAAACCATAAACACCAGTAGCTGAATGGAGCAGAAGGAGATGGAACAGGCTGAAAATCCAGCTGAAGACCAGCTGAAAAGAAATGAAGAGGCCTCCATCAATGCCTACCCAAAAGAGCATAATGGCCAGCTGAAAGGCGCAAAGGCACAAAAAGACCAGCTGATAATCTGGCTGAAAGAGCAGAAAAATCAGCATGGCAGCAACTGGACTGTTCACGTGTACAGTCACGTGAACAGTGTAGGAAAGCAGGAAACAAGTAGCAGCAAGCAGAAAAGAATGCCCGGAAATGTCATCAGAACATGATTCAGCAGCAGGCGCAAAAAGAATAATAAATTCCAGCTGAAACCAGCTGACATGGCAGCTGAGAGACCATCAGAAGACCAGCTAAAATCCCAGCTAAAGACCATCTAAGATTCAGCAAAAAAACAGTAAGGATCAGCTGGAAGAGCCCATCCGCAGCAGCAGCCCAGGTGTTCACGTGAACAGTGCCCCTGATGAAAGACCAGCTGAGCAGAAGAAGAAAAGCTGAGCAGCAACCGAACAAAACAGCTGAATAGAGCACATGAACAGTGAAAAACTGCAGCAAAACAGGACTACAGGCAACAGCATTAGCAGTAGCAGTAACCCAAAAAAAGGAAATAAAACATAATTTATCTAATAGAAAACCAAACAAAGCACAGATAATCAAAGAAATGTTATGCAATTATAGGTTGTGTAAAACAAGAAAACAATAACGAAAAATGAAAAGCAAACAATTGGTTAATGAGAGTATCCGGAATTGAAAATAATAGAAACAATGATCATAACAAGTAAAAACACAAAAAAGATGTAGAAATAGTCATGTGTAAAACACAATTCACATGTAAAAGAAAACCAATCAAATTTGCACAAATAGATATACTTATCTTTTCGCTCTTAAACTCCGCTTTCAAACTTATCTCGTCCATTCTATTAACAACATAAATCAAAGTACACATTAGATTAGTTACGAACATAAAAATAAAAATCTAAAACATAACAAAGACAATAAAAGTAAAAATAGGATAAGAATGATGAGAAGGTGGAGCAAAAGAAGCTAAAGAACAATAAACCCAAATCCCTAATCCCTAACCCCAAACCCCTAATTCCTAATCCCTAATTTCTAAAGCCCTAATCTTTAATCCCTAATCTCAAATCCCTACTCCCTAAGCCCTAATTCCCAACCCCTAACTATATAAACCAACAAGCCAAAAAGTTGAAATAAAACATAATTAATCTAATAGAAAAACAAACAAAGCACATATATTCAAAGAAATTCTATGCAATTATAGTGAGATAATGAGAGTGTTGGGAATTGAAAATAATAGAAACAATGATCATAACAAGTAAGTAACACAAGAAGATGTAGAAATAGACATTTGTAAAACGCATTTCACATGTAAAAGAAAGTCAATCAAATTTGCACAAATAGATATACTTATCTTTTCGCTCCTAAACTCCACTTCCAAGCTTATCTCGTCCATTCCACTAACAATTGAAATCAAAATACACATTAGATTAGTTACGCACATAAAAATAAAAATTCAAAACATAACAAAAAAAAAAAAATAGGATAAGAATGATGAGGTGTAGCAAAAGAAACAAAAGAACAATAAATCCAAATCCCTAACTCCTAACCCGTAATCCGTAATCCGTAATCCGTAATACATAATCCCTAATCTCTAAAGTCCTATTTCCTAATCCCTAATCCCAAATCCTACTCCCTAAGCCCTAATCCCCAACCCCTAACTATAAACCAACCCCCCCCAAAAAAGAAATAAAACATAATTTATCTAATAGAAAAGCAAACAAAGCACAAATAATCAAAGAAATGTTATGCAATTATAGGTTGTGCAAAACATGAAAACAATAACGAAAAATGAAAAGCAAATAGTGGGTTAATGAGAGTGTTCGGAATTGAAAATAATAGAAACAATGATCATAACAAGTAAGAAACACAAGAGGATGTAGAAATAGTTGTGTAAAATACATTTCACATGTAAAAGAAAGTCAATCAAATTTGCTGCTCGAAATTGACGTAAAAGAAGAGAGGAGTTGGAGGAGGATGAAGAAGGAGTAGTTGAAGGGAAGAGAAGTTGGAGGTAGAGGAGTAGTAAGAGGAGGAGGAGGAGTAGGAGGAGGAGGAGGAAAATCAGGAGAAATGAGGGAGGAGAAATTGGGGAGGGAGGAAGGAGGAACTGGAGAGGGGAAAGAGAAAGGAGGAAAATTGGGAGGAAGGAGTAAATTGATAGAGTTGGGAGGACGAAGAAGAAGAAAAAGGAGGAGATAGGATAAGGAATAGGAGGGGAAAGAGAAGAAGGAAGGAAGGAGGAGGAAAAGAATAAGGAGGAAAATGTGGAGAACGAAGAGGAAGAGGAAGAGGAGAAGGAGAAGGAGAAGGAAGTGAAGAAGAAGAAGATGTCTCCTCTATGCCTAGATGCTGCTCAAAATTTACGTAGAAGAAGGGATAAGTTGGAGGAGGGAGGAGAGAGGAGGAAGAAGAAGACGTTGGAGGAAGGGGAAGAGGAGGAGGAGGAGGAAAAGCAAAAGGAAGAAAGAAAACGAGGAAGAGAAAGAGGAGGACAAAGAAGCAGAAGAACGAATAAGAAGGCGGAGGAGGAGGACGAAAATGAGACATTAACACACCTACAACTAGAAGTACCCAAGGCATATGCACGGATGGTAAAATTGAACGCAATGCCGCAACCTTTGAGGACCTTTTTCTGGCAACCTATAGGAAAATCTTCTTTTGAATCCACAGTCGTACTCAAATCCTGAGGAAGTTCTGCACCATCTTTGCTTGATTCAGGAGTGAATATATCTTGCGTCTCATCTGTTGTAGTACACTTCTTGGTAACTTTTTCATCCTGCACATGCCAATTTCATAGATATCAGAACCAAAGAAGCAGTATGAAAGTCAGCAAGCTTCACCAGGAAAAATTCTCACCTCAGCCCCTGGTGGTTTTGTTTCATGATTTTCTTCACTAGAGCACATAGCTCTAGGCAGACTACATTGAACGGGTCCAACTTGAGGTTCCACATGCAACAAATTCATCTCATAGCAGTTCCCTGAGTTTCAAAGTTTTGGGCACGTAATTGATTTTGGGGCTGCCGAGTCCTCCTTTTAATGCCCGTTCCAAAAGTATCATCACTGCCGACTGCATTGCTCTGATTGCTTGGTTCTTCAATGTTGAACAAACTGTAGATATGATCGCCAGCAGAAACTACAGGGAAATCATCCTGCACATAATTGTAATTGTTTTGCAGAAAACCAAAGTTTCCCCTGTGATTATTTATTGCTGCATATATCAGGAGTTGTGTCCATCTGTAAAAGAACCCCACAATCAACATTCTCCTCAAGCAACTCACCAACACAAAAGCCTGGCTCAAGCTGAAGAACACAAAAGCAACATAGTGTTAATTCTCTTAGAACAACATTTCTAAAAATATGTTGGAAAACAATAGAAATTTGAACTGCACATTGAAACACATCAAGTGTAGCAGTAACCTTGCAAAAGAAAACTACAAGATGCTCAGAAGCTTCCATTACCTGTCCTTGGACCACTTCTGCATCAGAGTCGCTACATGATCCGCTGTCCTTAATGGCAACACCCTCTATAGTATAAATGCACTTAGTTTCACTTTCAACAGCTGAAATCTTATTACTGCCAGAATCTTCACAAGAATGCTCAACTGAGCCAACTGGGACCATGTCCAGGAACTCATTGATATCTAATGCATTTGTATCTGGTTGAAATTGCATCTAGGTGTGGTTGTTACCGATGTCGCCGTTAAGAGGACCAAATAAGTAGGAAGATCCAAGGTCCACCTGCATCTGCGAGTGCGAGTGCAACGGAAAAAAGAGTGGCTTGGCATAGGGTCACAAAGATCTCCCAAAAATTATTCCAGCTTGGGGTCTGGCTAAATTATGAAAGAAGAAAGAATTATAAGTACTTTATTGGACTCCCAATTAACACAGAAACATGGTTTAATCTAATATAAACTAGAAGTTAGTTCAACTCCACACAGGAGGGATTGTATGTCTAACAATTTATCTTTTGTATAATCAACAACAAGGCTACTGCTGTCCTGGTCAATAGGTAAAGGAGCATAAAGTGTTGGACTCTCAGTTTCAGCATGCCCACCTTCAGTACTTGGAGAATACAATCCAGCTTGTCTACCCATCACTGGGGTAACTGGCTCTGAGTGAGTACCTTCAGCAGGGGATTTAACTACTGAAGGAGAAGGAATATTTTGTTTAACTTCATCTTTAGCATTCTCATCTTGCTTTTCATCATGCTTCTTAATAGACAACAAAGAACAAAGGCACCCTGCAGGAGGAAAAATAAAACACCAAAATCATTATCGAAAACTAATGTGCTTACAATAGTTACGGAGAGAACCAGCATTTATTCATCATTTTAGTCTCCTCAAAAAGATAACCATGAAAGAAAGCAGCAGTGTCTCCAAATTCCAAGATCAACAAAGGAAACAACCATAAGCAAATAGGATGGTTCATCGCATGTTACAATGGAATTTGGACAATAGTTATACTATTTTTTCACTCCTAAACTCCGCTCTGCAAGCTTATCTCGTCCATTCTACAACAACTGAAATCAAAACACACATATTAGATTAGTTAGCGCACATAAAAATGAAAATTCAAAACATAACAAACAACAATAAAGGCAAAAAATTGGATAAGAATGATGAGGAGGTGGAGCAAAAGAAACAAAAGAACAATAAACCCAAATCCCTAATCCCTATCCCTAATCCCAAATCTAAACCCCCTAACTATGAATCAAAACCCAAAAAGCCCGCTAAGCCCCAAGCTCCCAAAAGCCCAAAGCCCTTATTAGAATTCTATATTCCATTAGTATCTTTTACATGCTACAAACTCCTAATTATCTATCTCGTCATTCCACTAACAATTGAAATCAAAATACACATTAGATTAATTACGCGCACATAAAAAATGAAAATCCAAAAGATAACAAAACAACAATAATGAAAAAAAATAGGACAAAAATGATGAGGAGGTTGAAGCCCCAAAAAAGAACAATAAACTCTAATTCCTAACCCTAATCCCTAATCCCAAATCCCTAACCTCCTTAACTATAAACCCAAAACCCGTAAAGTCTGTGGTACCCATAAGCCCCAAGCCCCCAAAGCCCTAAGCCCTTCACCCTATTTGAATTCTATATTCTTATATAGTATCTTTTACATGCTACAAAGTCCTAATATTCTTCTATGAATTAACTATTTGCTCCCTCTCCAAATAATTATATTTTGTTTCCTACATTTAACAATTAAAATAAAAAGATAATAAAAAAAAATAAAACACATAATTAATCTAATAGAAAAGCCAAAAAAATGTCATGCAATTATAGGTTGAGTATAAAACACAAAAAAAATAATACGAAAAATAAAAAGAAAACAGTGGAATAATTGAAGTGTTTGGAGTTTCAAAATAATAGAAATAAAGATCATAACAAGTACGAAACACAAGAAGTAGTAGAAATAGTCATGTATAAAACACATTTTATATGTAAAAGAAAGTCAATCGAATTTGAATAAATAGATATACTTATCTTTTCACTTCTAAACTCGGCTTTCAAGTTCATCTTGTCCATTCCACTAACAGCTGAAATCAAAACACACATTAGATTAGTTACACAAATAAAATAAAAATCCAAAAGATAACAAACCAACAATAAAGGAAAAAAATAAGATAAGAATGATGAGGAGGTGGAGCAACAGAAGGAAAAGAACAATAAACCCAAATCTTAATCCCTATTCCTTATTCCCTAATCCAAAATTCCTAATCCCTAATCCCTAATCCCTACCTCCTAAGTCCTAACCCCTAACTATTAACCCAAAACTCCAAAAATCTCGTACGTCCAATAGCCGTCAGCTCCTAATCCCTAAACTCTAATTGAATTCTATATTCTATAGTAGATCTTTTACATGATACAAACTCCCTAATTTTCCTCAATGATTTAACCATTTGCTCCCTCTCCAAGTAATTAAATTTTATTTCCGATATTTCACAATTCCAAAAGAAAGATAATAAAAAAGAAAAAATACAGTATAATCAAAAAAATGGCTATGCAATTATGGTTGTGTAAAACATGAAAACAACAACAAAAAATGAAATGAAAACAGTGGGATAATGAGAGTGTTGGGGATTAAAAAATAATAGATAA